TATATATATATATATTTATATTTTGGTAACAGACTGTTGTTAACGCAACATTTCAAAAATTCAACACTACTTTCAACATTGTTCAACTTTTTTATATTTCTTTTTAATTTATTAATGTCAGAAAAATTAGACATTTTATTGTTTTAAAAATTTTATTAAATAAATTTGCAGATAGCTATTTCGAGTTATAGATAACTCATCTTCAGTGCATTACATATAATGTATGTTGTTAAATTTCTTGTTACGTAGATCGTTTAATTAATTGATATACTATTGAAAGACATTAAAAGAAGAGAAACAAACTAAGCAACGTTCTTGACTTGTTTATTATCAACCGGATCAACAGAAAAGGAAAAGTGAAGTTACATATAAAGCAAAGAACATTTGGTCCAAAGAAAAATAAATGTATATTATAAATCATAATGTTTTAATATAAAACATAAAACTTAACATATGTAAGATATTATAAGAAGTAATTATTAATTCATATAAATTATTTAAAACAGAAAACGAATAAAATAAATTTAATAACATTAAACAATATAAAACGCGATTTTCAAAATTTTTAACGGCAAGATTGTTTATATTATGGTAGTTAAGGTAAATATCAACGTTCAGCCGAGAAGAAGCGCGAATTAATTAATTTAATTAACTACATATTATTAATATTATTTTTACAATATTTAAAAACAGCATCGACAATAACAACAACAAAACTACAACAGTGCCAACACTGTAGATACCAACGCCACAACCCACAGCGCAAATATCACTTGCAATTGGAACATCATCACAAGAAGCAAGAAGAACCACAGCGATGATGATAATAATAATGAGAACTCTTTTATTTCTTCATAAACCAAAATATAAATAAAAAATTAATTACAATTAAATATAAAATGAAAAGATTAAAATAATGGATAATTTAACATCAATGCTCGTCATTATGAATGTGTACAAAGATGATAAAATAATATAAAAACTAGAGTCAAGCTTTATTTCTGCCACAATATATTGCGTAAGTAGATGCTATCGCAGAATTGATTAAGCTACAGGCCAGTTTATTTTAGTTTGAGATAAATTGAAAGAATTATAAAGTCCTATTGGCGAAATTTCAAAAGTGTTGATTAAAATATTGCAATGCTTAAAATCATTCGATAGGTTATTCTTGAGGTTGTTCTTGTACTTATCCACTTTGTAGTTTCTTGATTTGATGTAATTGGTTTCATGACAGACTGTTAGTTCCAGGATTTCAATCGTCTTTTTGTACAAGTTTGCTATGTCTGGTCTGAGCGAGGTATAAACGGTTGCGACACAGGGCGAATCGATTTTTCCTCGATATCCGCAAAAATGATTGCTCCAGGCTCGATGCATGATATGATGTTGTTTAAGATGATGGCAAGTATTTTATTGTGGCGATTTAAGTACCTAGCGAGTGCAGATGGTGAACCACAGTTTGATACTACATGCTTATTTGTTTCCTTGGCGTTACAGAGAGAGCATGCTGCGTTGTTCGCTTTTTTCCATTTGACTAGGTTAGCGTTGGTTGGTAGTTGTTGAATGAGATATTTCCTTGTGAATTTGTATAAAACTTCTGGCAGGGATTTTGTTGCATTAGCCCAACGGGTGATGCATGATCGTGAATGTTTTCCTTAATCGACTTTATCAATGTTCTTTGGCATTGTAGCGATGATAGATGGTTGAAGTCATTTTGGTGTTGACGCTGTTTCAGGACGTTGCACGCCATTTGAATATCGTTGCTTTGGATTTGGTTGTCGACTTTTTTGTATTCGTTCTTTGATTCCTGCCACAGAACTCTCATTTCTTCCCTGGTGTTTGTTTTTAAGTGACCCCGAAGTTTTAATCTTATTAGCTCTGTTTGATGTTTTAGCGATTTTATGTTTAACCCTCCACTTTTGTAAGGCAACGACAACACTTCAGCAACACAACTACTTACGGGAAGAGACAACCAATCTCTTACAGCTTCGCATATCAACGGGTCTAGGCTGTTACCTATCCAAGTTAGCAAAATATCATATAATCGCAATTGGAATGATAATTGAGACGGAATGAAGCGACGTAGGATTTGCAGTTTCCATTGAGCTGTTGTATTCAAGTCGCTGATTACTTGCAGCATATCCGTTAGTTTCTTTTGGAGTAACTCTTTTTCCTTGACGTTTTTGCACTCAAAATCATAAGATTTGTCCAGATACTCAAACCTGTCATTGATGCCTATCTGAGGTATTGTTTCGTCGTCTATTGTTAGCTTTGGCAGAAATTGTTCATATGCGCCATCCCGCTTTCGCATCCCGAATAAACAACACTTGTCGACTCTTATTTTCATGCCAGACCATTTGCACCAGGATTGGTTGAGATTGATTAGAGTCTGAGCACCATCAGAGCTGTTTGTTATAATAGCTGTATCGTCAGCGAATTGCAGCCATGCTCTGGATTTTAGATTAGCCGCAGGGCCCCATAGGTATCCACATTGTTCATGTTC